AATCCCACACATCCCTTGACATTTTTGCACCCCTATTCATACCTTTCCCTGTTCCTGCATGCCGGGCTGCAGAAGGTCAAAAAACAACACTGTCTCCTTAACACTTAGCCAGACCTTCACTGCTACATCTCGGTTCTTCTGCGTCTCCAGCAGAGAGGACCTGGTGTCCTCCATGGAACCCTGGGTCTCATCAGAACACAGACCCTTCCCAGTCCCCTTCTCACAGGGGACAACTGCCCACGACTTTATGGGGACGAGAGTTGCCATCCCACAGGCACACCCCCAACCCCCTCCTCCTGCAGGTCCAAAGCATTTTAAGATTTTCCCTTTCATCTTTCATCCTGTTTCTAAGAGAAGATTAAAAGGCTACAACAGTTAAGATACTGTAGGTGGTACTTCGCTCACAAAATTCCCCTCCTTTCACAGATGAGGAAAATGCAGCTCAGACTGTTGACACACATTACCCAGCTGACCCCAATGTCCACTGGACCCTGGGATGCCCCAGCTGCCAGCAGGTGACAGAATTCGTGGAGATAAGTCCCCAAGGGAGCAGTCAGGGTTCTGGGCATGGACTGAGCTGTGGTCAGGAGAGGGGGAGGGACACTCTCCCCAGCCATGCCCTTCCAAGGCATGTCCTTCCCCTGCCTAGAGCCACCTCCTCTCCCAGCCACACCAAGAGCCCTTCTTCTGGCCCTGCCATGACCCAAACACTTCTCTTCCCTTCCTGAAAGGAAATGTGATCGCACCCTGAGCCTTTCATTTCCTTCCCGCCCACTCCTCCTTCACCACTTGCAATCTGCAGCCCACGTCACCACAGGCTGCTAAAGCCATTCTCAAAAACATCACCATGAACAAACCCAACCATCTTTGCTCAGTGGTCATCGCTCACACCTTTCTGAGACATCTGGGGGTGCCGACACTCTTCTCCCTTAGTGGCCTTGAGTTGGGGGGTCATCTGTTTTTCCTCTCTCCCTCCCCTCAGTTTCCCACAGGGCACACCTGCCCCGTGTCAGCAACGGTGTCCAGGAATACACAAAGTCCCGATCGGGGAAGCTCACGTCCTAAGCATAGAGTCCAACTATTGTGTCCTTTAATCCTCACAGCCACTCTGTGAGGTCAGCGATACCAGACACATTTCACAGAGGGAAGACACTAAAATTAAGTAACTTTCCCATCTCTACCTCTGAGACAGAAAAACAGTATTTATTATACAGGGTGGGGCAAAAGTAGGTTTGCAGTTGTGAGCATGCAAAACACGGAGTTTATTCTTGTATTATTATTGTATTCTTTTCCACACAAACAACTGTAAACCTATTTGTGCCTGAGCCTGTAAAATATAGTAAGTACCGTATATTAAAAAGATGCTAAGAGAATACAGAGGAACTCTGGCTTAAATGACAATTTGGGCAGAGAAATTCTGATGCACGGTAGGGAGGAAACCAACAGCACACGTGAAGAAAAACATATTCCAGAATGACTTCAGTTGCCTCATCTGTAAAATGTAAATTATAACAGTATCTACTTCATCGATACTATTGCAGAGCTCTGAGAATTAAATGAGTATTTGCAAAGTGCTTAGAAGAGTGTCTGACCTGTAGTATGATATTTGTAAGTGTTTGCTACATAAAATAAGTAGCAAAAACAACAACAACAAAACGATTTGATGGCTGATGCAGAAGGTGCATGCAGCAGGATGGGGAGGTGATTGATCGGGGTCAGCTTATGAAGAACCCGCAGCCCCGTGCTGAGAGGTCTGGCCAAACAGGGCCACCCCACCCCGTGCCTGGGGCCTGCACCAGTCCATGGGCAGAAGAAAGCCAGAGCACCATCCTCCTATTAACGAGTCACACATCACTGCAGAAGCCTTAGAAAATACTAACAGTAACAGAGGGTCAAACGACCCTTCATCCCCAACCCTGGAGAAAGTCACTGCTGTCATCATGGGCTTTTCAGACATTGCTCTGGGATCATGGACCACCTGCCAGCTCTCAGCCCTCGAGCCGCGGGCTATGTACGGTCTGCTTCCACGACACCCTTCTCCACCCACCACCTGCCCCCGTGACTAAAGGCAGCTGTTAGATGCAGGCCCATCTATACAGAAAAGGGGCTGACTTTTATAGTGCGTTTACTTACACCCCCTTAGTTCATGTTCTGTGATTATGTTAATTAATATCATTATGTTACTGTACTAATATTTGGGCTTATTGATCCAAATACCTCGCTATGAAGTTGGAGGATGAAAGTTCAAATTTAGGTTGCTCCTTCATTACGTTATCCATCCCACCAGCAAACACTGATGAGACACCCTGCACAGTGGCTTCCAAGTTCTGGAAGGGGCTGAGGGTCTCCTCCGGAGGAGTTCACAGTAGCATGGTG